GGTATGAAATATGTATAATCCTGATGAGTACTTTAACGTACACAAGAAAAATTCATTATGCTGTAACATTTAAGGCAATAATTGCTGTGTATAGCTTCTAGAGGTTTAACTGTATAAACAGGAGTGATTAGTTGAAGGCTTATGTTCATATGTATTATTCTGAAAAAGAACTCTCAGCAGAACACAATATGACTCCATATTTACTGGTCAGAACGATACAGAAACAAAATGAGCATCACAGGGAAACATGACTCTCCATGATGAACATATTGTGTTTTATGAAACTAAAAAAAAACACTACAAAGTATGTACAAAGTGTGTACAAAATTACGCAGGAGCTAAGCTTTCCTTTTGACAACCAGAAATAAATGCAACATATAATTTGTATATCTTTAAAATCACAAAATAGTGACATGTTGTCAAAGTCACCAAATGCCATCACGAGTCTAATAAAAACACTCAGAATTATGCATTTGCTTCTAAGCAGTGGATTAATAAAATCTAGTTTGCACTGAGGCATCTGACCACCTCCACCAAACTGCCATTCCAAATACTGTGGCATCCTGTTTGACAGAGATTATTTCTTGCTGGCTCATAAGATCTGCAGTAATTATTTCACTTGCTTAAACAAAATAATCCTTTTCTAAACAGTAATGCACAGCAAACCTCCCTACCCATTTTTTCAAGCCAAAAAAAGGTAACTGCTTTGGCCGCCCAGACAATTGCACCCTTGTGGGAATGGTGCAGTGAATGGTACAGTGGACACCCCAGCACTATTGACGTTATAAACATGTAAATGAAACACATTAGGACTGACAATCAATTGTCTGCGAGCCCTGCAAACTTGCTCTCCTTTTTCCTGTGACAGCAGCAAAATACTGCCTACCTTGGGAAGAGAATTTCATGAAAAAAGGGTGAGAGGGGAGCCTTTTTTAACTAGGGAGCAAATGCACCTTAAAAGCAAATGAATAATAGAGATGGACAAAATGTTTAGACTGGAAGGAATCTGCCATTGTTTGGGTTGAAAGCAGGGCTGCAGCAAAAGAATTAGTAGGCCCCCTTTATACCTTTAGCATGAATGCTCAAGGCTTTTATAATCACGCTCACAGTATTGTATTAAACTCTTGGAGCCAGAAAGAAGCTGGTTTTTACCTTAAATTATGTAATCAATATATTCTAGTGGGAACATCTATTATTGAATGGCTTTCTGTTGATTGAAAATGAATAGCTCTTTGTGTAACAGGAAATCTCAAAAAACGTGTATTGTACCGGGAACTTTACAGAAACTTAACAAACAAGATTACAGCATATACATTCTGAGGACAGGCTGCAAACTGAAATACGGTATCTGTGTATTGTGTACAGACCATGGGTTTTTGACACAGAAAACCAAATCAATTAAATAATGGAAATGGTCCTCCACACGTTCACATGATACACTCAAGAAATCGTGATACAGCATGCAACATTGCACCCTTCTAGATAAGTAATAAGCTAGTTTATATATATATATTACATGCACATACATGTCACATAGATGAAAAGAGTCAATTATTAAACCTATTTGTCTCCACCGAGACGAAAGCATTTGGTAGTAAATTTACAGTAGGGACTTTTCGTAAAAACAAAAACTATTCTGCCCCGCAAATGAATTATTTTCAATTGTGCTGAGTGTCTTGAAGGCTCTGGGTTCGGAGAGCACTTTAACAGCTGTACTTACAAATAGCCAAGCAAACCCTCACAGCTGGATGTGACTTTGCAACACCTGGAGGGGTGGAAAACTGCAACAGAATTGCAGAGCAGCTAATATCATGTTCCCTGGAACTGCCAGTGACCTTTCATTTCGGGTTTTGTTTTTTAGAAGATGGTGGGTGCATTTGTCTTTTTTTTTTAAAAAGAGCAAAACAGTAGTAAAATGAGAAGTAGGATTTAACTGGCGTGCACTTCGGAGGAGAAAAAATAAATCCGGTGTTTGCGTTACAGGGGCATAAACTATTTAAAAGTTATCAATTAGAGTTGTTCAGGTTCGAAAGGGTTAAATTCCAAGAAGGGATATACACCACTTCCACAGATTGATCAACAAACTGTTACTTTCTTAAACCAAACTTGTTGAAGACCGTACTGCTTCTTCAAACAAACGCACAAAAAATTGATGTCATGAAATAAACACTCTTTTATTTCTGATACCAGATGTAAGCGAGAGTTGCCGTTTAAATATGACGCCACGCTACTCGTTATTGTGATTTATTTGTGTTCGGGTTATTAAATTTAAGGCATACTTTCAAAAGACGCGGACAGAAACAGTATTTGTTTATTTCTCTATTTATTTTACAGAAAAGACCATGCACTCAGGAACCCTTTGATAAAATAACGGGGAGTTTTTTTAGTGAAAGTGTTACAAAGTTACAAAGTGAGTCAGGCGACTCCAGATCATCTGACTTAACCCTTTGAAATTGACAGGCACAACACAATCCCGATTATTTCAGCAATGATGTTTATCACTGTTCATATGCGATACTCCCCTGAAATATTCCTATTTCACAACTCATTTTATTTAATCCAGATTCTCGGATCGCTTCTTAATACAGTCAGAAAAAAAACTGTTTTATTCTACCCTCTTGATTGAGTATATTTTTGGCAATTTTTATTACACAGCCCTGAAGTACTTCGACTTCAAGACTCCATATTGTGTTTTTTAACAAAGTTCCAAAAGAAAACAAATGTTTATTCTGTTAATCAAAAGGTTCGCCCACTTTTTTTGTTTCACGCATGGTATCCAGCTTTTTGCTCTTTACCTTTTTCTGTGTAGTGTGATTTTTTATTTTTTTTTCAATTCAAGGAATTTCTGTATCCCTCTGATAAGCATCATCATATTTAGTGTTATCAGCGTAGACACAAGCTCAGCTCTGACATGTTTTCCATGAATCCAGAGGAGAAGAAAAATCCACTCAGCTCAGATAAATCCAAGCCATTCCCAAAGGAGAAGCTATTGGACGCATCGCATGACAAGAGAGAAAATTTAAAAAGAAACACATTGTTTACTAACCACAGTAGAATTATTAACTACAGTTATTTTATCCGTTAATTGTATTTAAAACATTAAAGTGAATAAAAGTAGAAAGTATACAGGATATACGAGATATTCCGATTTAACCTTAAAGCTTTTCTGATTTACACCTTGTTTTCTGGACTTTAATTGTTGCAAGGTGGATAGCCTTTTACTTCCAGTATAAATGGTATATCTACACAACAAATGGTATTTTAATATCATTTAGCTCAGATGAGTTAGGGAAATATATATGGTTAGTGTGAAACGATGCGTCCTAACCAGAAAATCCACACAACGTTTAGGTTTAAAAACGCTATGAACATCCTTACTAATGATTATTAATAAAGCACCGTAAAACAGCCGCGATTCGTTTATTCAATCTGAATCTGAGCTTTTTTTCTCTAAGAGGTGCTCTGTACTGTGGAAAGGGAGCTGGTCCACTCAAGCTTTTGTTACTCAGTAGATCAGCAACGTGCTTCCAGCTACTTGTAAGCAGAAAAGACCCTCAACTACTGACATTGATTTTAGAAAATCGATACCCACCATTTAATAAAGAAAAGAAGCTAAGCTTAAGAGGCGAATGGAAATATGACATTTAATTTCCCAGCGTAAAAAAAAAATCACAAAAACAAGACAAAAAAATTCTGATCAATGCGATCCCCCTGACTAGTGTCATCTCAAGAGGACAAAACAACGAAAATATTTTTTTTTTAAATCCTGGTATCAGTTCAGCCTACACAATCGCAACGTTTTGTCGGACGCAGTTTACAGTGTTTTGCTAAAAATGCTCGGCACAGGCAAAGACACACAAAAGCAGAGCTGGGGACGAGCGAACTGCCTTTCTAAAATTCCTCAGTCACTCCCCCATATGGATCAAAAACTCCAGTACATAACACCGCTCCCCAAAACGGCAACAAACAGGGAGATTAAATGATAGGAAGTCTCCCTTCATTTTTACACAAAATGCGTTTTGGCAAAATGCTCAATATAAAGAAATAAGCAGAGAAACATCACTACACCTTCGTGTACAGCGTGCAAAGCTGCATGTCGTGGCTGACTAGTTATCACATTTAGCGGTTACTCTGTATATATCTGTATTATATATTTATACAAACATAGGCCTATACATGTAAACTTCAGTCAACGGACATTTCGTTTTTTTTTCTGCACGATCAGATAAAGTGCTTGTCGTGTCGACCATCAGAATACAGGCTATTTCCGAGTTGAGGAGGAACTTTATCGCAAAGCTTCAGACCAAAAAAAAAATGCTAGAATGTTAAAAGAGGAGAGAAAGCGAACGAAAAGAAAAGTAGTTGCCTTAAAAAAAAATGAATGGTAGCGATCCTATCTGGATCGCTAGCCCGAACCCAGGGGTGGTGTGTGAGAAACAATGACCCGTAGGTTGTCCTACTGAACCAGCGACCGCAGTCCGGTCCGAATGAGGCGGACCGCAGGCTACCGACAGAACCTGACCTGTGGACCAGGCGACTCCACAGGTACTTCAACTTCGCAGACAAGTTTCAGTGACACACGCAGAAGTCACCTAACGGTTTTCTACCTAGTGGGAATAGACTGCCAAGCAGACCGTTATACTTTCAAGTCCCACAAACTTTCTAGCATTCCTCTTTTCCCCCACACCGTGTCAGTCTCTTTAAAAAAAACTCCGCTATTTAAACTTCAGTTCCGAAGACTGTCTGCATAGATATCCGCCAAACCAGAACAGAAACGGATAATGACAGTAGAACAGTCCTGGGTTGCTGCACTACACGAACCCCTTTTAACAGTTTCCCTGTGATTGCCCTCAACTCCCATTGAAACGTAAAGAAAATACAACAGGCGATCCCCCTTCAACCACTGCGAGCGTCCTGTAAGCCAGTGAAGGTTTAGTTTTTTTTTTTCAAACACAGATCAAAAGATAGAGTTTTGTTTCTTTTCTTCTTTTTTTTCTTACCGTTTTTCCTTCTTGGGTTGGCTTGTTTTCGCCTCTTACACCTGGGGCCATCCGCCATGATCTGCTGCTTCATTGATAAGAGTAGATCAGACTGCAGTTCGCATGGACTCGACTCCCTGAATCAGCAGCACGCAGGCTCAATATCTGACAACCAAACACACAGCAACAATGTGGGCACTGGGAGATCCCATTTAAATACAGGGCGCCAAATGTAACAGAAGAATATCATTATTAATAATATCATTAATGACAGTAACGCCCGAATATTATATCCAGGAAGGTATATATGTAAATTTGACTATCTTTACTTGATCTTTCTTGAAACTGATCAGATGGAACATTTAAGTAGAGAGAGCACAGACGCGAGAGAAGAGAGAGAGGCAGAAGGAGAGAGAGTATTGCACCTTCAAGATGACTCATAATTCACAATGACTGCCTATGGGGGAATGCTGTTTTACACTATTTAATTTAAATGCTAGGCGTCTTTGGGTCTTTTAATCTGAGTTTGATAAACACAACTGTATTTTTTTCGTCTGTGCACGTAGGTAACTTTTTTTTTACGTGCTTCTCAGAATGATCAAAACTAGCTGAACTCAAGTAGGCACAGTTACTGTCGCCGTTTTCTTTTATTTGGTTTCCTGAGGATGAAACTGGCGTTTCTTTCCCACTTTTGGTGGCGACAGCTCTTCTAGGAAATATTTTGCTGTTATTGTATTGAGGACTACTCAGCATGGCCTCGTTTCAAGTAAGGAGTGACAAATTCCATTGTTATGTGTCAATAAAAAAGTAAAATAAACCAGAATTGATAGCTTTTAGGGAAAATTTGGAATTGTGCTTATGATGAGAGGTTGTTTGAGAGGAGATGCAACAGCAGCTTTAGAAGAGTGGCTGGGGGATTAGTACAAACACATGGCAGTAAAAGATGTTTAAAACACCGAAACTTAACCCCTTTTCCTCCAAGCCCAGAACCACACTGCACGAAATAAAACAAACTGTATGAAAGATATTTCATACAGACGCTCATACTTCAAATCACATATAAAAAATAAGTTTATACGTGCATGCAATACTTTCATCGATGCTGTTACTAAGGAAAGAAGGACGGAAAGCTAGTGGATGAATGAGGCACTAAAAATGAGTTTAATTTCACGAGATAAGTAGCTCTCAAAAATCAATTTATGCATATATATTTTCCTTACACATTCCGTGACATGCACTAAAACTTCTCACAGCTCAGGCAATTCTTACATTTGAAGCAAGCAAAAAGAAAAAAACTTTCTACATGCCGCTACCAGCCTCCCAGTTTTCATTCAGTATCATGCAAATTGACAAATCAAAAAGAACACAGAAAACGACTAGCAAACGTTAAGCTCTTTAAATGCTGGTTATTTCCAATGCTCATAATATTGGCTGGACTTGCTGGATATTGTTGTTTTACAACGAGAAACGAACCATGACAGGAAAAACAAACATAAACGCTAAGACCCATCAAAACACACACTTACAAATCGGATGCCCTTCAATGGTACACAGTAGAATGGAATCTGAAAATATTAAGTAAAAATGACCCAAATCCCAAATCTCATAAAGTAGAATTTTGTCGAACATGACAAAAGTATGTATTTTCATATATTTAAATGAATACATAAACATTTATCAGATGCCCTGATAGGCGTGTTATTTAAACAGGTATCTTGACAGAAAGATACTGAAATGAAACTTGTCTAGTTTAACCTGTGCTATCTGCATTTATAGAAAACGCATTTTAAACGGAAAAAATCAGAAAGCAAATCACAATAAAAAAAAGCAATGCATGTTGTTCAAATCCATCTGTAGAAGTTACTTAAGTAGATATGAGGAAAGTCGGAGTCTGATTTTGGTTAGAAATAGACAAATATGACGAATGAAATAAGCACAAACGTAAAAATAATATACATATGAAAGTATGCAATGCAGTCCCAATCATTAGGCAGTTTCTTTCGTTGTGCAATACACACCTTCTTTACCTGTACAGACAGGTAGACAAACTTTAATGGGGAAAAAAAGCTTCGTATAAAACTAAAATCCACCAAAACCCATGCGAGACTAGCTCTATAAAATTATTACCTTATCTAGGGAAAAAGAGCATTAAAAATCACACCTACCTGGTATATATTTGCGTGAGTGTCTTTTCAAACAGTTCGGTGGGGGAAAACAGAATGGAGAAATAGTAATTTGGAGAAATGAAGATCCTTGCGAAACAGTTATAAGCCTTGGAAAGAGTTGGAGGAAGGACCGTTATTCCTGCTGGGCAGGTTAGGACTGATCTCTTTCAGCCACTCCAGGAAACAAACCTGGGGACGGACTGACGTGTTACGCCTCTTCTAATGACATTTTTTTCTTTTTCTTTTCTGTAATACAGAGGAGAGACCCTGAAACACACGCCACCTATCTTCACGGGGAGGGATAATTGAGGAGAACCAAACGTGAGCATCTTCTGGAAAACGTGATCAAGTTTTTTTTTTTTTTGGTATGATCTGGGAGAAACGAGCTGAGTCGGATTACCTTGCAAGTCAAGCAAGAATAATATTTGAAGAAAGTTGAAACACCCCCATCCAGCCCCCAGCCTCCACAACCATCACGACAAAGGGATCTAACGGAAATTATGTTGTAGCAACTAGCTGACCCTTACAAACCCTAGGATCAACAAACAGAACGCCGAAATATCTTGTTACTTGCAAGTGAGCATCCGAAGTTCAGTCTGTGCTCAACTGCTGTCTGCAGATGCCTGTGTGTTCTTACTTACTCCCTTTCCGTTATCTGCCCGGCTTCATTCATTTATATTGCAGAATTAAAACAGCATAACTAGCGCAAATTTAGAAAGCTTTACCTCGTTGTTAAAGTCGGTTAAGGTGGATATGTCTATTTAGAATTGTGATTTTGCAAGTTTTACCACTGTTGCTAAATTAATGTTTTTACAACAACTTGCACCATTAACGGAGTTATAGCGCATATATTAAATATAATACATATTGTATATTTAAACAACAACGGGGTAATAGCATTTTAAAAAGTGCTGAAAAAGTAAAAGTGCTGCTTTACAAAGTAAAACTAGTTTTGTTAGGGACAAATCAAGCTGAGGCGAGGTATTAAATCTGAAAAGTATCGTTTAATGGTAAAGTTAAAACAGGTTAGAAAAAGAACAAAATTATTTGCTATAGTGTTTTTATTATTATTGTACGGTTGCTAAAAACAGAAACCGGCGTGTGTTTTGGCCCTTTTCTTGTGCCAGGGATGCGGTTTATTGAGTTTAAGGGGTGTGGTTGTTATTTTCATTGATTTTTTTCTTCACTTATTTATTCGGTGTGTAAAGCTATTTCCATTCTCTGTATACCAACACAGACAGGAAAGGAAGCTCCACCTTTGAAACGCCGTGATTGGTTATGTAAATAATATATTTTCTCCTCTATCTTTATGCAGTTATCTACTGTATGGGTAATTAAATCATCAATCAAGGGGCAGGGCTATTTGATGCCTTTGTTCAAAGCCAATCGGGTTTGAGAGAACTGGTAAGCACAGAGCAAAGCAAAGATGCTCAACATCTGGAATTCAGCAATTTACCAAAGGCTGCAGATTATTAACCAATTCTGAGCCCGGATCCCTAGGGAGGCATTCAATGGCAATATTTCTGAACCAATTCGATGTTTAACTTCAGTTATACAGTGTAACTATATGTTGTTGATATTATTATTCTTGTTATTATTATTCTAATTGTTATTATACTTTTTTTTTACTTACTGAAATGGCTAAATTGTGTAGAGATATTTTTTTAGATTTAGTTTTCAGCGACCATCATCGTAAGGGTAATCCTGAGATTTAACAAAAGACCATCAGTTCCCACAAACCCTCTAAAGATGCAGTAAGTATCATCATAACATGTATACCTTCGCATTTACCGTTAAACCCGGTGTATTGAATGAGAGTTGTGTAAGGGGCACATCGCTGAATTGAAATTCGGAGAAAAATATTTATGCGTTACTAACTTCTACTCTTATTGGTAAGTACCAAATATTTTAATTTAACGTGCATATGTAATTTACTGTCGTTCTTATCCAGCAGGTGTCTTGTATTCCAGAGTCTTCCCAGGCTTGGAGATGCCTATTTGTTCAATAATCTAAGATATGAGGACAGCAAGGAGCAAAAGTCAAGTTTAACCCGATAACGTCATCGTACTTTTCACAAAGCATTTTCACAAAGTTATACAAGTGTCAGGGATTACAGATCTAGAACAGCGCTGCGTCTACATCACAGTAGACTACATTAATTCAATTAATTTAATTGAACTGTTTTGATGTTAGGGCGATGTGTACTGAACATTATAAAGCTTGTAACTTTCTTTTGTCTAGATCATGTTCCGTTCGGATGCTGTTCATGTAGCATATGCTACTGGACATCTCTTAACCAAATATTCTATATGTGCATGAAATTAGATTACAGCCGCTACGGAACATATACTGTAGTGAGACTTTAAGGTTAATTTAATTTAAATGAGAATTTAACACTGTAGCATCATAAGTTACATTTATTACAATGTTGCACGTCAGTGATTCATCGTACAATGGTTGCTTCCTCCTCTTAGAGCAATCACACAGCACCTTACAGGTACAGTACCTGCTGCCTCAGATCGGGCGCTTATCCGAGATATTACCTCGGGATCGGAACAAATTTTCCCATGAGGGATTTTTCTACCCAACAACAATGTAGCAGAAAAAGAACGAACAGAACGACATTCACTAGCACAAACAGTAAATCAAAACATTTCTAATTAGGTTTTCAAGGTTTTTTTTTTCACCACTTGACTTGTTTGCACAGTAGCCTACGGTTACCGGAAGTTGTTTGTTAAAATAAAATTGATAATAAATGACCAGTTCTAGGATTAATGAAACACAGACAACAGCAGCAACTACAACGATAAAGATAATTTTATTAAACAAAACGCAACACTGTTGGAGTCTGTCTTCATACACAATTCATACAAAACTTTATTAAAACTTTTTTTGACTATAATAGATATTTGCCCCCTCCATATTTTTGTATACTAACAGTATCTGTTTTTTGTAACATAGCAGTTTCCTGTGGAAGTATTTGTATGTATCAGGAGATAGATATTGTGAATGAATCGTCACCTCCGTCTCCACCTCCATCATGAGAAAAGAGTTTCTCATCCTTTTTGTCTAATAAACCAGCCTGTCCAATTCTGTTGTTGCAAAGGTAAGCAGCTCATTCCTTTTGCAAAATATACTCATACCTTTAAATCATTATTACCAAAAAACTAGATTCTTGTTGTAATATTCTAACTAAAAACATAACCTATACAACACGAATACACTTATTTTGGTAAGAATAGCATTATAACCTTATATTTGTCTATTCATTTTTGAGTACATGTAAAATTAAATAGTGTTATCTTTCTCACAGAAACAGAAAAATGTGACATTCATTCTTGAAAATTAAAATACTTTTTCCATTTTATTTCTGTCTGTATTGACATGAAACTAGTTTTGACTGATATTTATTTCTGTCTTGTTGGTTGGTAGACGTGTGAGAGATTATTTTACTCCTGTCTCACACCCGCTCATTTTATTTATTAAAGATACATTTTTAAAAACAGCAATAACATTAATCTTTTATCTTAAATACAAATATAAATATGTTAAATTAATCTTGAAAACATAATTAAACCAATGAAATAACCAAAAAAATAAAACCTATGTCATTTAGACATTTAATGCCATGGGTATTCACATATTTTAAAAGCTTTGTACTTTGAAAATGCATTTATGAATTTACACATTGAACTTATACAGTACACAGACACTTTCATTTTGATACCCACATTTTTTAATTAAACAGAAAGGCTACAGTTTGATTAAACTCTGATTATTATTGTTTTCTAACAAATTGTAGCATCTTCTTGAGAACACACAAAAAGCAAATATGTTTATGAAACAGAATCCCCAGTGGAATTCTTCCAGTCAATTACAGTAGACTTATTCTGTTTATTTTGTCTGACAATACACAGCTGCATTTGGGTTAAAATCCTGTGAGCCCCAAATGTTGTCTTTAAGGTTTAAGGAAATGTAAAAAAAATATCTACCTTAACAATATTGATTTTGACAACTATACATTTGCTATTAAATTATTATAATACAAAATGTATAGTTGTACCTCTATATGCAATTTAACTTTATATTATAGTTATATAGTAGTTACCCATTTTTTTGGAAAATACTGGGTTTTGGAAAACATTTTATGTTCTCTAATGGACTCAGTGAAATGGACTACACTCATTTGCCTTTGATGAAATAAATCAATGAGAGAGGTGTAACTTCACAATTACAGTCCTGGCCTAGTATAAAAATTAGCTGGCACTAAACAAATAACCCTATATGGTACAAAGAGCAGTTCGGTCACATGCAAATGATCGAGGATCTGTTGAAGACATACCCCTCTGACTGATTTATGGCAACAGCAACCAAGAAATGTGCCAGTAATTAGAAGAATGGCTTTTAATTATAGAGTTTTCTGATATTGTTAGACAAATAAATGATCATCTTTGGTTCAGAGATGCTGTACATTCTTCACAAAAGGAAGATGTTGAACCTGATTTCTAATCAACATTAAAAAAAAACACACACACCTGTAGAAAATGAATTTACGTTTGTAAATATATTTACTATTGTAATGACAACTGTATCCTGTGGCTGAATAAACTTTCTATGTAGTCTTGGGCTGGGAAGGTTACTGTCTTTTATTCTGGGGGATTTGGAAGTATGTGATGTTTCTACATTCGATGCAAAAAAGATAGTGGTGGAACAGGTGACACCCTCACCTGAAATCATCCAAAGCTTCCAGGACTGAGAAGACAACAGTGTTCATGTGCTGTCTTTTAAATTCAATATGTATCTAACAAGTCATATTAAAATGTTATTAATACATAATAATGCATTTAATATGGTGGCATTTACCTGTCAGTCCATTAACATCCGATCATGCTATTTTGTAGATTTCCTTCTAATCTACACTATCAATAACAATTTTATAAAAAACAATATCAGATCCATACATTAAGGCTGAAAACAGCATTGCGTTCATCAGTGTGAACTTTCCTTAATGTCCGAATGTGGTACAAGACTGTGCACAGAGCATGCCACGAGGAACTGAAAGGTCTCTAAAGTGCAACCGGTATTGCCCCCCTGATCCGCTTCTTCATCTGAGAAATGCTAGCAAGTGTCCCTCGGTGAGATTCTGATAACAGAGACCAAAATTCTGTGTGATATTGTGTGGTTTATAGACAAGGTGACAAAACACAGCAAGATGGAAAATGTGATAAATACTGGGCAGTCACAAGGAAATTCGAACAGTCCACTTTAT